CCCTGATTTAGTAAAGGAGCTATCCTAAGATAAATTGAGGCAGGTAGCCGTGTTGGTCTGAAACAACAGAACAAAGTTTGAGTTCAGTGGAATCTTTAAGACCAACAAAGTTTAATTTTCACATGAAAGCTTATACCCAGAATTAAAATTTGCTGGTCTTAAAAGGTGCCACTGGACCCAAACTCTGGAACTATCTTAAGTAAGTCTACTCAGAAGAAAGCCCCATTTTATTCAACAGGACTTACTCGCAGGGAAGGGTTCTTAGGATTGCAGCCCAAATCATTTATCCTCTAGATGCTGATTATGAAGGACACAGCTGATCTAATATCCCATAATTATCTCATACCTTTGTTTCTTTGAGTTGGTCACAAACAAGCAACTCCTTAATTAAAGGACTGTATCATTGATAACTTGAATTTCTTAAGTCACACATTCCAGTCACACTTTACTTTTTCCCTAAGTAAAAAGGAGGCATCCCCCTCCCTTTGTTTTTCAAAAGGCACATGCACACACACCCCTTGGCAACTTGCATAACTATACTGACTCGTCTCATGGAGAGCAAGTAACCACAACACCAAGAAACAGACTTCAGTCGCCTGGAAGCAAAAGTTTGCATGAGATGCTATAGCTACAATGACAACGCACTCTCTCAAACACTGGAGCAACAAGCCAGAAAAGACCAACTCACCAATAACTTGCCTTCAGAGCACTTAAGATTTGCAAAAGGCAGGAAAAGAAGAAAACCTGGATTGATTTCTTGCAATTGATATTTCAGCTGTTGCCCAGGAGTACGGAAGTTGCATTTTTGGGTCACATCCCCAGAAGCACCAACAACTTAGCCTGAGGAGCTACAATGAATAAGCTGGAGCCACCGAACACGGTAAGGAATACCACAAGTCCAACAAAAGGATTTAAACACTATAATTTAGGATAGATTCATGTGGGGTAGCCATGTTGGTATGAAGCAGCAGAATAAAGTCTGAGTCTAGTGGCACCTTTAAGACGAACAAACTTATATGCAAGGTATAAGCTTTCGTGTGCAGACACGATAAAATGAAATGGAAATTACCAGTCCATATATATAGGTAGAGGGTTAGTAGTAAATTAGTATACAGCATAATGAAGATGTTTAACATATTCAAGGACCAAACAGGAATAACAAGCTTAGTTTATATGGTTACCATTTGTTTGGGTTTAATTCTGGGAGGAAACATAGTGAAGGAAACAAATATGTCAGAATTGGAGACTGATAGACAGAGGTAGTCTTAATTGTGGAATGCTGAGAATAATTAACTGAGAACCCACCATTACACTCCATCCATCTCCTCCCAAGCATGGAGGCAACCTTACAGCATCTTCCACTGTGAAATGGGGCAATTGACTGTGTAGTTTATCTTTCCTGTCCCTTGACCAGAAGTACATTCCAATCTACTGTTCCAAATTACACTACATTCTGCTATTCATTTATATTACACGACAATCTACTATTCTAATCTATTAGTCCAAATAAGAAATAAAATAAAATAAAGAGGACGTATGGCTTTTCAGGGGGATTGGTGAGAATACAGATGTAAGGGCTGGATGAGGTTAGCATATGTAGTGATATAAAAACCCAATATCCCTGTTAAGTCCTGAGGATTCCATTGTTCTGTGTTGTAATGATGTGCAACTCAGCAATTTCCCTTTCTAGTCCGTTCCTGAAGTTCTTTTGCAATAAAACAGCCACTTTGAGGTCACCCACTGAATGTCTTAGAAGGTTGAAGGGTTCTCCTACAGGTTTCTCAGTCTTGTGATTCTTGATGTCAGATTTAGGAGTTTATGATGCTTTTCACAATTGTTTTAATTTTTTATGACAGTTAGGCCACAGTCTACCAATCAACCACAAAGCAATTTGGTCGCTCATTTTATTATTTTACTAGCAGTAAAGCCCGTTGTGAAAGCAATACAACGGGATCTAGAAAGAGGCTCTGGGGCAGTGCTCTGGCTTTGGGCAAACAGTGTTGATTTGCTGTGGTGACCTTAGCAGGGTATAATGACAGAGTCCACTGTTTTCTCCAGAGGAACTGATCTCTGCTACCTGAAGAGCAGTTGTAATTGTGAGTAATCTGTAGCCCTCACCTGGAGATTGGCAACAATTGTTACCCAGGACAAAATGGCTGGTTTGGAGGGTGGAGTCTATGGCAGTCTACCTGTCTGAGGTCCCACCCCTCTGCAAACCCCACCCTCTCCAGGCTCCACCCCTCAAATCCCCAGGAATTTGTCAGCATGTAGTTGGCAACCCCATCTCCTTCCCAGCTAGCCACCAACCTACCATTATCTGCCCCTTTGACTTCAGCTGACTTCTGCCCTCCCTTCTGCAGAACAGTTGTAATACTGAGTGCTCTCCAGCCCTCACCTGGAGATTGGCAACAATGGTTCCCTATGTGGGACTGACTGGTTTGGAGGGTGGAGTCTATGGCAGTGTACCTGTCTGAGGTCCCACCCCTCCTCAAACCTCACCCTCTTCAGGCTCCATCCCTCAAGTCTCCAGGAATTTCCCATCTGGAGTTGGCAACCCTATCAGGATTGGCCCCAATGTGTTTTCTCCCAAAGGCCAAAGTAGGTGACAGGACCAAGCTTAGTTGCCTACCAACAGGCACTGAGGGGAATGTAGGGTTGCCAGCTCTAAGGAGGGAAATACCTGGAGGTTTGGGGGGTGGATTCTGTAGAGGGCCGGGCAACGGAGGCATCGGCCTTCCGTCGCCCGCCTTGCCCCCCCAATC